GTCCCTGCCACCGACAACAGTCCTTCTCAGGACTACACTCACCCGGACGATCAGACTACACCTTCACATGTTTTTATTTTCTGACGCGTTTCGTCTAACTGTTGTAAACTTCTTCTGGGAGCTTTACAAGTATAACCCTAGAGGCTTGGCCGAACTTACGAACAGGAACCGGCGAAGTTGTGAAAAATTTAAAACGTGCAAGGCAAGTTGGGAAAATATTTTGGGGGCTACGGTTTTAGCTACAACTACTGTTCGCAGAAGTGCTGCCCACTAGTCTATATTTAGAAAAAATCCATTGTCGTTGTTATTGAGACTGTTGGGTGTAAATCTTTGCAACAGTTATCTAATGGATGTTCTCGAGTAGTTAAGCAAAACCGATTATCTATGGGATAATGAATCCACGTTTCCAACCAGCTTTAAAAAAGCATTGAGCTGCGGTCGCTATGGTAACGATAATGTGAACCAGGACTGAAGCCAGCAAGCGCCCAAAGAATGATAAAGGCCGACTAGCGATTTCCACGCAAAATTCGTCGTTAAGTAAGACACTGACGTCGACCGAACAAAGCTTTTCAGACTTCAAAGATGCTATAATGTTAGGCAGTATCCTGGAGTAGAGCTTCTGCGCAGGTATCCGTTTGTGTGGACGACAGAAAGTGCGAGGTGTTGGTTTTGCCTCGAGCGATTTTCCCTCACCCATTCGACTCTGGTCAGTGATAACTTTTTCCTGAGTAGTACTAAAGCTATGCATTTGGCTCATTGTTAACTTTGAGTCCTTTGTCTAATATGTACTTCACCTGTCATTTAACTTTCTCTTGATTATCTACACCAGTATTAGTTGCTGATGACCATTTCAAATACTGCACTGAAAGTATTGGAAGAAATTCCTTGCATAGCAATCTACTGTAATTACTGTAATATAAACTGCGAGAAAAAAAGGAGGAAATAAACACAAGAAACGAAATGGTAGAATAAAGTCTGATAAAAGACTGTGTGAGGCGTGTGATTTGCTGATTGGTGAGCAACCCCTAGTTGAAGAAGTGAGCATTCAAATCCTTAACATGGAACTGAGAGTTCTGAATTTGTTTTTTAAGATATCATAGGCTGTTTGTATTTTAACGAATAGACTATTAATTCAGGACAAAGAAGTAAACTACTCGCAACAAAGATTCAAGCAGCAAGGCGTCCCATAGTTTTTGAGAAGCACTATTGGATGCCAACTATATCCTACCAAAGCCAGTTGCCAGCTGATGACAATATGTGAACTTGAAGAGCCGTCAGTAAGAAAAATCAGGTTTCGGATCGTGGGAGGGGAAGAGATCACCACCTGGATCGTCCCTTACCTAACAAATTAAATCGCAGCCGGATTCATGGAGTGAAGGGCTCATTAGAAAAATTCTCTTTTTTTTTTTTTGGTCCTTACGTGAAAGAAAGTAATTATTTTTTTTTCTTCAAACTTGGAGGTACAAACAAGAGTCGACCGCCTCCCAGGCGCACAATGAAAACTTAAATCTCACTGAGGTCGAATTAAAATCTTCCTTTTTCATAGAACAACAGCTGAGTTTGAATTGAAAAGAGGAAAATTTTACCACTGATGATTGCTTTGTAGAGGCAGGTATATTATTGTTTAGAATTAATTTATAAAAGCGGCTCGCTCTTCGAAGATTGAAATGAACCATTTACGTCTATGACTTTAAAATTCGAGTTTATTTTTTCTAAAATGATAGAATATTATTCAATTTTACTTTGGGACCGTGCAACAATAACGTGGATTGCGGGATATGGGAACATCATTGTAAAGGAACGCAAATACATCCCTGCATTATTAAAAAGACGTGGACTGCGGGATATGGGAACGCCATTGTAAAGGAAAGCAAATACATCCCTGCATTATTAAAAAGTTGGCTGTTACCATTAATCGATCTCAGTTTAGTGGACGCCTCTGATCACGAAACAGGGCGGTTCAAACAGTTTAAACAAAAGACGTTTAGCGAGGAGATTTTTCCCCATTTAATTCTTCTTTTTATCCCAGTTCCAAAACACTTGGAGGAAGAACATAGAAATAAGCGAACAAGGTAAGGATATTCCTATATTCAGTAAAAATGTTCTACGAAAATCTCATTCGAAAACCTCATGAACGATGTGAGGTACCGAGTAGCAATTTTGTGGTATCTTTATATCTCAGTGATTCCTTTTATCAACCTCAGATTTGTCATAGGTTACTGCAGAATTGAGGATAACTACACACAACTGGTAAAAAAAAGGTTTCATGAAAATTCCTGCAAACTATTGGGAGTGGATAATTATTTTTTTGTTATTGCCAATGTGATTAATTTTCTCGAAACTCTTAAATGTCTGCTCTCATTAGTTCACAAAGATCTGTGTCCAAGAGAGAAAATGTTTTTATAATGTCAAAGACTGCTCCTTTAGTTTATCATGTGGCTTGTTGTTTGTCAAATTTCCAGAAAGCACATTGATCATCACAAATGAAATTTGACGAGTTATGTTGTTTTCCTTTACAAGACATTAAGAGCCTGTCCTACCCCTCTAAAGATCGCATTTTTCGCTCTTTTTCTACGAGTAAACAAGTTAATAACGAAATTTGATAAAAATGTAAAAATTGACAAGCCAAATTCATTCCTTTCTTGATTCATTGAAAAATTGTCCTTTTGCTTACTGAGCAAGTTAGCAAAAACTTTACATTTAATTTTACAAATTGTCAAAGAGAAGAATCCTTTCCCTACAGAGGTTTATCGGCTGAAAGTATTCAGCTATTATTTCTTAAAGTGCTAACAATCTCAGAATCAAAGAAAAAAACCGACCATGCTTTTTTAATAACTAAGCCCGGTGAACATTTTCATTCAGCATTTCTTCGCCATATCAGTAAGAACGACAAAGCCCAAGCCAAGGAGGCACTAATTAGTTTACCAAGCAGTCCACGTTTAATTAAAATTTTTGCTTCGCATTGCCAATGAAATAGTTGATACACAAAGAAACTACAGTAACAAATTGTTTTGCACAGTATGGAAAAAAATGTTTTCTTCGATCGGATAGCAGCCTAACTAAAACATTCTTCACGGCGGAAGGGTAAGAAGTGTTCTATATCAATTTTCTTCTAGATAATAGGAGTATAACAACTTGTTTCATTATGATATGGGTGCCACCTTTCGCTTGACAAAGTGTACCACAGACTCCTTTAGATCCCCCCACAGCCACGCTACAACTACTAAAACCAGACAGCGTTTAGAGGCAAGGGGTGAAGAAACATCACAATAGTAAAATCGCAATCATGGAAACAAAATAATTGATTAATTTTTTTTTCAAAGACTTAAGAAATCTAATAAGAATTATTCCTACTCATTAAGTTTCCCCAACAGGTGTAAAAGCTACGAGGAATGATTTCCAACAATGATTAGAGTGAAGCGAGGAGGGAAACATAATGCCAGGCCAATATGATAAAGAATATGGAATGTTCTGAACAGTTTTGTATAAAGCTAAAGAAATCTTATCAAAATATTCTTGCTCACGTTATTTCAGTTCCTAAAGCGAGTTAAACAATGGGGAACAATTTGCAGATTAATTCCACCTTTACCTCAAGAAATTACTCCAACATGACCAACATCACCCGTGGCTACACCCCAACAGAACCTGTACCTTTGTTCAGGCAGCCTCAAGAGGCAAGCGCCGTCTGGGCTCAGTTAAAGGCTCTTGCCTGTATCAGTTCACTGGCTTTTCTCATCAACCTTGTTGTGATCATAGTAACTTCCAAAAGATTCAAAACTGCACCATTTATGCTTATTCAAAATTTCATGGTGATCGACATAGTCAGTTCCTTGGTAACAGCGGGCCCTTGGGCCGCGGGTGTTTGGGCCGATTCTCTCGGGCTAGGAATGATATCGTCCGTATGTCGCGTACAGGGATTCTTCCACAACACTCTGGCAACAGTGTTCTTAGCAACAGTCGCTCTCTCTTCAATCAGCCGATTCCTGTACGTTTCGTCCCCGAGTGCCTACTGCATGTTTTTTACAAACAAGCCCGTTGTCCGCCTACTGATGTTCACCATCTGGTTTGGGGCAGGTTTCCTGGCGTCTCCACCCTTGAATCCTGGCACATGGGGATCCTATGGAAAATTTGAAGGAACGTGCTGGTTGTCTTGGGAGAAGGGTAACCTCCCCTCTCTTTCCTACTCTGTTTTTCACACTCTGATCACTCTGGGCCCTACAATTGTGTTCACCATTCTAGCGATCACAGTTACCATCCTGAAAAAGAACTCCATCCACCCCGCGCCGACGCCTTCCTCCATGCCGGTGAGTAACCAACCAAGACTGCCACCCCCGACACCTACCATGATTGGGTCTTTCAGGGGAGGAACTAACCTCCTCAACATGGAAGTGCTGTACATCTCGTGCGCTCAGTTCCTGTTGTATCTGACCCTTTGGATTGGCATTACCGTCGTGGAATCACTCTTGATCGTAGACTGGCGTAATGTGGATTACAGAGTGGTGATTATCTTCACCTTCTTGTATCAGAGCCGGAGCCTGTTCCATCCATTCTTCTACATCCTTCTGAGTGCAGAGATCAGAAATGCGTTTGCGAGGTGTACAAGTAAGGGGCATGCCACCACCCTGTCCCANTAAGGGCGACTGTCTTCTAACTCCTCCTTACCTTATCACCATGGAATCAAATGTAAAGGTCATGAAAATAAAGGAAATAGTCACTAGTTTAGAAGCTCCTGATTGTCAAACAAATTCTCTTAGTCAGTACCTTAGCAAATGCATTTAAAAGGAAAATTCCTAACTTGCTTTTGACTAAACTTGGGATTGAGGACTACTATGTTAACGCCCATTCACTAATATTGAAATTCAATACCAATGATTATCGAATATTATAACTGTAGTACTTCGCTCACATCCGTATGTCACAATTCTCTCCTCTCCACTTTCCAGTCTGCTCTGCCTGTATTAGATTATTATGTTTTGTTTAACTTACTAGTAATTTTGTTGTACTTAATTTGTATGACAACTGTACGTATCTTTTAGCTTATAATGTAGTAAATACATAGCTTATAACAGTAAAATTGTAGTAGTAATGAAATCTCTATAGCTTACAATGTGTAGTATTTACTAATTTATTACTAATACCCGCCAAGATTAGCTAATGCTATGTGCGGGTTGTGTAAATTGGCTTTTAATGTTCCATGAAATAATAATGAAAAATGCTGCAAACAGCTGTAAATGCGAGGCGAATAGTGTGGAGAATTTAAAAACTTATGTTAGTGTATCTCGGTAAAGGTTAATGGAGAAGTGCTTATAAAACAGCGTACTGTATTTCATTACGTCCTGATTCGTGTATCTCAGGTGCAATAGTATTATATTAAACCCAATAATAAAAACCATCTGTTGTACACTTTTCAACGTAAAAAAATCTTTTTAATTCGTCGGCACTGCATGGATAAAATTCGAAAGTTTCTAAAAAGAAAAACCCATTAATTCTAAGATTTTACTTCAGTAATGACTACGTACAAGTTGAATCAAAGTTGATGATGTTGTTGTTAGGAAAGTACCAATTATTATCAATTATTCACCGATCCTGAGGTGTATAATTGTATTAGTAGATGTCACAAAGGAACCGGAAAAAAATTGATTATTTTTGTCAATATCCGAAAAAAAAGAAAAAAAAAAAAATGGGTGGAAATTAATTTTTTACGTGAAATTTGGTCTCTTCGGCTGCTCAGTGGTGAATAGTGCTTGCTATTCGCTTTCAAACAAGCCAATCAGCGCGCGCGATAGGCATTATTCACTTGCTTGGTACATACTCATCATTTTATAAAGACCTGTACAGCCCTGCGCGCACTTTTATCGAAACACCCAAGATAAATATCCTCTCTCGCTGCACCTGGTTCGAAATTCATGACTTCGTTTCCTCGCTCAGTCAATAAGTACGTAAATAAAGAGGGTAGGTTTCTAAAGAATCTGTGGTGCTGCATGGTTTGGGTATGTAAAACAAGATAATTTGGTTTTATCAACTGAGTTGATTGAGTAAATTGGCCATCGTAAAGAGTTTCAAAGCCGACGTTTCGAACGTTAGCCCTTCGTCAGAGGAGAAGTACATAGTATCTCATTTTAGAGTAATTTCTCGAAAAGAGATGTCAAATCCCAAAATATCAATTATAAGCTACCCAAAGTTTATTTCGTGAAGATATCTACAAACTTCGTCTTTATTTTATTTACAAAATTAGAGAATCCATAATTCATTATCAATCACACACATCTACGGGAGTCTTCAATTAAATAACACATTGCGATACAACTTAGCGCAAGCGTTTGTGGGCTATCTCTTTAACAGGCGTTATGTTGAATTCCAGATAGGCTTACCTTTAATTGGAAAGTGAGAGGGTGATAGGGGTTGCACAATGTCCGAAATGAATTTGCTCCCTCATAATCTTATTCATATTTCTTTACATTATATTAATTCTGAATGAGGAATTAATAACTGATAACATTTTTTGAAATGTTCTCTTCATGGATTGAAGAGGACCGTTACAAATAATTTATTTCGGGGTGAACATTATTTCAACAAGAAATGGGGTGTCATACCAGAGCAAAGGGCATACATAAGGAAAAACAAGGCCCCCCTCCCTTTTTGTGTCCTACTAGACGAATAAAGAGCTACTAATTGCAGATGGTTGGCATTGAAGCATTTCTTTGAGTGACATAATCTCGTAAGTGAAGACATCTTCAAATAAATTACACATAACTTAGAAGCGAGTCTCTTTTGGAGTTGGTGATTAGAACCCAATTCCGAGTACACGCGTAATTCAAGGTTCACGACACTCAAATAAAACATCGCTATTAGCATGTGGGTGCCCCTCTGGTTTTACTTCCCATGGACCTCCTTACGGGAACAGATAGACGGTCGTGTCGTTAGCCACAGACACATATCCAGAATAAGTTAGGGCTTAAAATACAACACCCTGAACTGAAACTTATTTTCATCCCTTGACTATCCACTGACAGAACAAAACTATACCACAGAAATAAAGTAAAAACTGCACGACTGCCAAAACGTGTACCACCATTGCTGTCAACGTCGTGCTTGGTTACAGCATTTCCGGTCACGTGCACCGTTGCTACACCGGAAGTAAGCCTGTCCATAAGTGGAAGCAGACAGCGTTTATGACACCGTACACGTGACTTCTAACTTCCTTTTTGAGTAAACGTGATCTGTGTGAGCTCTCCTTGTTATCTGGCAAATCCTCACGGAAGACAACTGAAATATCCTGCGGGAAAATGCAAGATCGAATAAGCGATAGTTGAATTGTAAGATATACGAGTTTTTTATATGCAAATAATATCAAAAGGAGCCTCCAAGTTATAGACAATGGTTTCCGCAATGGTTTCCTACTACGATACTCACTGCACTATCATTGTGCTCGTCCACATACAACAGAACAAACATATTCGGAAAATCACGGTTCAAAACAGCCAGGTAATGAACCAAATGGTCCTCGTCCGTGAATAAACGATGCTCATCTGGAAATTTGGCACAAATAACTCTGTAGAAAAAGAAATTCAAATAATTAAGTATACTCAAAAGTGTTTTGAGCCTATGCCTTACATCCATTTTGAAGCCAGTGGTGATCCTTGCAGTACGATTGGCTCAGCCTTCACATCTTTCCAAAATCATTAGTTTATTTGCGTTAAACAGGGCGGTTCTTCCTGTATACTTCTTTCCACATGGTTTCTTACAATGTTTTGTTTTGTTCGTTTTTTCTTTTCATCTCGATCACCCACAATGTTTTTGTGTGCCCTTAACATGAAACTGTTTCGTTTTCTAACTCAAAAAGTAAAACGACAGGAAAAAATTTCTAACTATCACCAACCGGAAAAGACTTTGAAACCAGGCTGCCCTCATCGACAAAAGAGAAATCAGTCGCGGATCTTCCTCCCTCAAAGATTTGCTTCCAACCACAGATAAAAGTTGTTTAAAATCTTCAAAAGTCAAGCGCGACGGTGACATCTACAAAAAAGTAATGTACAATGAAATGTGAAGAAAGATGCTGAGGGTTAAATATGTCGCCTTTGTCACTCAAGTCACTTTGTTTCGCTCATTTGTCGTGCAATGTTGTTACTTACTCTTCACTCGCCTAACTCACTCGTCACATGCCTGCTAGACAAGGTATTGACACTGTTGTTGCAAACATTTTGCTCACCAAAGTGCAATCAGTTGTTTAACAACTTCTTACAACATGGGTCCATTGCTTGCTTCTAAGCAACAGAAACTGTCCCGCATGACCACAATACGTTCTCTCGTAGCGCTTAGCCAACCTTTACCAAAATCTTATCAAGGAATTTACAGGAACCATTCTAACAGAACTGAGTGGACTGTACCTGATCTGCTCCAGGGCTAAGCGTGTCCAAACTCTTCGCCCAGCTCTGTTTCAGACTCGTTTCTGAGTTGGATTTGCGCATGACACTCTTACGCCTGCTCTTCTTTCCTCCATCTTTCTCCTCATCCCCAGTCTCCCCTGCCAGCAAACGATGCCATAGCAAGTCTCGATTGCAGTGAGTCTGGGCTCTACAGATTATATGTACCAAATGATCACGACCACGCAGGGAAGCTTCCTTGAGGAGCGTGGATTCGGGCAAGGCAACATTCTCGGGTAACTCTTCTTCATAGTGCTCTGGAATTGGCGCATTCGGCGGAAGGACATTCCGGTGGTAGTCACCAATCTTTTCGTCCGAGCGTGACGAAGTTACGTTGAGAATCTTCGAACTAACTTCGTGACCCAATGCGTACAGGGAGTGGGGTGAGGAGGCGGACCTGTGGAACTCACCAAGGGAGGGGAGGCTTGGGAATCCTTGGGAACTTCCCGTGGGTAAATTGAATCGGACACGTGATGCTAGAAAACGGAATAAGACGCCAGTTTTAGAGTAAGTACACTAAACTGTTGTGTGTTGCTACTTTAAAGTGCTTTTTGAGGGTTGAGCGCACACCCAATACTAAGATACCACATAAGCCCTGTGAATTATTGCACGTCTGTTTGCACAATAATTCTTAATAAAGACCTCTACTATCATTATTATTATTATCATTATTATTATTATTTAATCTCGAATGTTGAATCAACCCTGCTAATTAACAAATCAACAGTGGTTTAGCATGGTCTGGACTCTGATCAACAACGGTATTCTTCATCACAGTGGTGAAAATATTGTGGACTCACGAGGCGCAGCCGAGTGAGTGCGGAAAATCAGAAACGTTTTCAACTGGTAAGGTACTTTTTAACACTTTTTCACCATTACCTATTCCTTGCTCTGTCTCCCCGTATTCTGGCAAACCCACAGTTCTGCTTCCACTGCTCACTGTTGAAAGCGAACCTGCCGATGGCGACTTCTTTGTAAGTCTTAAATCCAAAGTCAACTTCGGATAAATCTCTCTGCGACTAGTCATTAAGACAATATACTCCAAGGTGACCACGCCTTCTTCGTTTGTTTCCTTCAGCGATAAAACGAATCTGACGTCATAATCGTTATATTCTCGGAGAATGTGCGTAAGAACTCGGTCAGTGTTGGAGCTCGAGGCGTTTGTTGTTTTCACAGGTAGGGTGGACAAATCGTAGAACGAAGCGTTTTTCACCAGGTAGTTAAACACAACTAGGGGTGTGACTCCTGGGTGCAACGGCACTGAAATTTCACCTTGAAAAAAAAAAAGCGTTTTAGAGTATGACACACCTACACTTCGTTATTCGATTTAGTACGGTTTTGCTTCTAGGTGGGATCACGTGGACCGAATTTGGAGTCATTATTTTCCTTTAATAGTAATTTCAGTCGTGAGTTGTGACCTCTCTCGACTACATTGTATTTGAGCCCTTAGAATACATGGACTAGATTCGTTATTCCACAGTTTCCTCCACTGTTCAAATTCGACACTCAAGTAAAACATTTTGGTTTCAAACTATTTATCCTTGGAAGGGAACTATTCGTCACCCTTGCCAAACTTGACAGTAATAAAAATAGATGAGTTTCGTCTAAGAAGACCTTAGGAAACCCTCTCGCACCAATACATTTCTTTATTGTGCTGTCCTAAGAATTTGGTTCCTTATCCGGGAAAAATCCGCTCTTTAATATTGTCATGTCTTAAATTCTCATTACCAGAGTGTCGGAAGTCGTATTAACTTCGTAAGAGGAATTCAATCCTTTAACTTCCAAGCTCTCACGATAGTTACTATCTTCCATATAACATTTTTACGAAATAAGCGCAGATAATTCGGCATTACATCTAGCAATATCCCCTAGCTGATACTTCTCTTTTTTCTTACCACCTCTTTGGTCGGCAATGTATTGATTTGTAAGGGGAAATTACGTATTGGTCACCCCTAGGAGGAAAACGCTTAACTGCTGATCACTCTTTGCGGTGAAAAGGTTCAAAGAGGGACCCCTTTTTTGGTCTCACCACGCAACGGGAATCGTGTTGCGTGACGAAAATAAACCAACGCCTCCGAACGAGGCTGTGGTGATGCCAGTTAAAATATAACAGAAATTAAGAGTATACCATAACCAAGGCGGTTCCTTGCGAACACAGGGCTGTGGTGATGCCAGTTAAAATATAACAGAAATTAAGAGTATACCATAACCAAGGCGGTTCCTTGCGAACACAGGGCTGTTCAAGTACTCCTGTAACAATCCCTTCAGCATGTGTGTGACTCCATAGCCTTTGTTGAAAATTCTCTGACTTCCATTCAAATAAAGCTGTGCTTTACACAAGTGAAAGTCATAGTTGAACGAGAGAAGATGAATGTATTCTCTGTACCGATTGCAGTCTTCCACAAACATACGACAGATCTGTGTAAAAAGGAAATGTGAAAAAAAAAAAATCGATAGTTCAATGGTTTTAAGAGTTACTTTGGTTGTGCTCTAATTTCCAGCCCTTTGGGACTGGGTCAGGAAGTCACATGATTCGTTCTTTTAGCCAATCAAATCGGAAAAAGCGACAGACTGGCATCTCATCTATCATCACAAGGAGGGGCGGGGGAGAAGGGTTAACAAAACGCCTTGTTACCTCATGGTAAGAAGCCGCAGCGAGGTGTGACGGTGTGGACCACTTAGCAAGCCGCGGCAGCAGGTACAGCCTTCACCTTTCGTGTACGTACTCACCTGCACAGCAACCGTTTTGCCGGAAGGAATCTGAGAACATCCCAAAGCATAAAGTCGAACGATAAAAAAGCAGCCCTGGTGGAAAAAAAGCGTCATTATTAAAATGCATGGCTTCCCACGAATACAATGCCTTGAGTTGTGATTAGCTTTTGCCATTTTTAGAGTAAAAATAGAGTGATATCCCATTAAGGAAATGTGAAATACGGGGCAAGCAACCGCAAGGAGTTATCTTAGGGTTTATCCCAGGGGGGTTACCCGCGAGATAAAGTAGCATCCCATCCAGAAGATGTAACAATACCATTATTTTAAAGTCATGAAATGCAAGATAAGCAACAGGAGTTATCCCAGGGGTTATCCCCGTGATGGAGTAGCATCCCATCCGGAAGATGTAACAATTCTCCCAGTTTCTTCTTGCTATGAAAAGCAAGATAAGCACGGACAGGGGGTTACCCCAAGAAATTATACGTGATAGAGTAACATCCCCTCCACGAGGTGTAACAATACTCTTAGTACCTTCCTGCTACAATACCAAGATGAACTCCGGCAGGTGTTCTTCTATACAGATTCTACCTTCACCGTGTACGCAAACTAACCTGGAACACTAATTCCATCAGCATGATTCCTCCACGAGAAGTTTTCTGTAAGTAACACTGCAGAGTTTTTGGTAAACTATCCTTCCTGTCTTTAGATGAGGATTTCTTCTTTAAATCGGCTGGACTGGTTTCTCTTTTCGGTTTGGTATTAACAGCTCCTCGACCCAGATGCCTGAAAGGTGAAAACTTATGACTTTCATATCCGTTGATAGAAATATTCGTCAGCGGTATGTTTAACTGTTATTCAATGAAACCCGGATGTTTCGTGGTAATATCGGACAAATAGTCAACAGTCTCTCTTTACCAAATACTGTGACAAGATACCAACCTTTGTGGGGCTTCCTCGCCACACCCTCTAAATTCCAAATATTACTGCACTGTTATGGTAAATTATGTAAATACCTGTAATCTCTGTCGTCTTACATATGTTTTGTGGCAAAAAAAGATAAAACACTAATCGTAATTCTCGGTGCCAACTCAGTGTCTGAAGTTACTTTGTATGGCTCTTCAAAGATGCGACCAGTCAATTGAAAGCGAGAGGTCACGTGGTAATGTTTCTTAAATTGTCTAGAAAGGTTTTATTTTTAAGGTCTGTGGATGAAACTCTACAGTGAATCCATACAATTAACGAAAATAGATTCAAAACTGGTTTGCGAGTCAAGATTTGTGAATCTTTGTATTACCTTCTGGACTGCTTTGGCGATTGCGGCCTGGTTTGCACCACAATAAAGCATAGAGACTGCATGTACTGCACGTATTGCTGCAAATAAGCAGACCGCAGCTCTTTGTGCCAGGCTTCTTCAGTGGGTGGTTTCTTTTCGGCTTCAACAGCCGTTTTTTCATTCTTCATTTCTACATGGCAAAATTTCTGTATGAACTTCATATTTGGAGACATTCCTGTTTAGACAATCTGCTTTTCCCTCTTTTAACCTTTAACTCCCACAAGCGATTAACATGTAATTTCTCCCTATAATATCATATACATTATCCAGCAAACAGGTAATGAGAATACCTAAACTTATCAGGCAAAAGTTGTTTTCTTGACCTAACACCAAATTCTCATGACTAATTTACAAGGAAATTTGTAGCAACTAGAGGGGAGAATTCAAAACCAGATCTTGAGGAACAGTTTCAATATCTCTTGGTCATGCCTGACAATGAGTTAGAGAGCGAAGATGGGTAGAAGCTCTAAAAAGATCTATATGGCTCCATCTAGGATGAGATATGGGTACCGACAAACTGTTGGAGATATAGCGAGAACTAAGGTAGTAAATTTCCGGTTGCTTGGCAAGTCAGTCTCGTATGCCTACCTCCTGTAGTGGGTAGCTATAAAAGCATGCCTTACTCAATAACTTATCATCTTTGACTCTGATGATAGCTCAGGTTGTCGAAACGTCAATCACCACTGCAGATAAAAGTCCTTCTCAGGACTACACCCATCAGGACGATCAGAGTACGCTATCACGTGTTACCCCAGAGCTCAAATCATTTGCTGTAATACAGTTATTTGTCACTCACCGTCAATCGTTTTCTGTACTTTACTTGTTTTTCTTTCCTTAGTTTCCTGTTTTTTCTCTTCACTGGATGGTTCATCTGGGGTCACGGTAGTATGCTCTGAGCCAGTAGAAGAACGCAGCTTCCTCCACTCTGGATGGAATAGGAGAGGGGCTGCACAATAGTGGATCAACCTGGACGAGCGCTTAAGTGTTTCGATTTTATCCTCCTGTAAAGCAGTACCAAAATAATGCATAACAAAAACTGGTGCAAAACATCCATCCATTTGGACGAAACAAGAGAACCAAAGAGATGTAAAGTTTGTAAGACATGTCAAAATCTACTCGGAGCGACCTTGAGATAAGTCAATAACATCTGAACATCCTTAGCTGCTGGGAAGCACTTTCGAGGGTAACCACTTGTTTCGCCGACGAGTCGTTTCGCTATCGACCAGTGCGTTATCGTCTAAGTCGTTACGCTAACGACCAGTGCGTTATCGTCCAAGTCGTTTCGCTAACGACCAGTGCGTTATCGTCTACGTCGTTTCGCTAACGACCTGTGCGTTATCGTCTAAGTCGTTTCGCTAACGTATTACAAAACGTTTATTGATTCCATCGCTAGAATTTAATCGACTTCTTATCGACCCGAGACAATAGCAAATTGGTCGTTAGCGAAACGTTCGCAAAATTTCCCAATCATCTCTCGTTGGGTAAGAGACTGGGCGTGAATTCGTGAGCATCTAAACTTACAGTGATGTGCACGTGAGGAGGCCTAAGTTGCCACATGATATACAACTCTTCCAAATTTTGCGCCAAAATCGCTTCTGCAAATTAACAACGAGAGAGCAAGAAAAGAGTCAAACCCATTTAGTCAAAGAAGCAGAGGAAAAGAAAATAAGGACTGAGGTCGCTGAGGTGAGCTGCATAAATTTATGACTTTAGGACACGTTAAAATTTTTGTTGGTTACTTTTGATCTGGACTTGTCGGACCTCCTGGAAAACAAAAGAAAGAAGAATAAGTAGTCACAATAATGTCTTAGGTAGATAAATATCGTATTAAGTAGTCTAAGTGTCGAACCATATAATGTGATTGTGTAGACCTACCAAGCAAACAAACAAAACCGGAAAGTTTAAAGCGAAAATCATGGGACAAAAAGGGAGGCTTCCGGTCCAAGCCTAATGATGTGTCCTCCTCGTGAAGTTATTCATAGATAGCTTTTTTGGACCGAAGTCGTTTCCTAAGAATCCCTCTTAAAGGCCCGCCTCGAGCTGACGGCAGGGAGATTGGTTTTGTTAAAAAATGGACTTACTCTAACGTGGGAATTGGGATTTCTTGCGCAGAAATTTATGTTGCAAATGTTTGAAGAAAAATTTCCGTTAAGAATTAAAACAGTAACAGAAGCGGAATCGAATTGTCCCCTCTACGAGTTCTTGCCTATTCCCTCACTTTCCCTTGAAAGTTTACGACATACCAAGAGACTAAAATGGTAAAAAGATGAAAGGAGCTAAGTCGCGAAGCTACCTCCTATTTTTGGTTGAGACTTCAAAATACTCGCTTAGCATGAGGGAAGAGCACAATAGGGTCAGAAATAAACCATTAGGAAACAAGGATTGCTGAGGATGGAAAAGATTAACAAAGATTAAAGATGACAAAGCCGTGACCAGGCCTCACCTGAAACTGGTACCCATGCCTTTTAACGAGATCTCGGTTGTGGGAGTAAGAGGTGCGGTAAAGAGGTCTTGGAGGTGTGACGTCACGGAGAACTTCGTCAAAGACCAGAATACTCGGAGATGGCGGCATTGATCGCGGCACAGCACGCTCACGCTGAAGAAAAAAAATTCAGTATACCACACTAATACTTCTTATCACACATTACGAAACCTCAAAAAAGGGAAAATAACGACGGATCAATGTCTGTCTCTGAACAACTGCACAGCTAGCCCTCTCCTAACGCAACATTCACCCTTACTTGTGATCAATTGACTGTAGTTGAGTCAGGGGATGGGTAGTTGCGCAGTTGCTCAGACACATTCATCCGCAACAAAAAAAAAACGTCTTTTTAGAGTTGTAACAACGAAACATCTTTTCGGAGTTGGAAAATTTATCTAGCTACAAATGATGAAGACCGTCCTAGCTCTTAAAAGTTGGGTCTTCCTCCCAATGATATTGGGACATCGTATGGTTTGTCAGATAAGTACGTATTTCCATGAATCAGGAACCAGTGCTATTGTAAAAAAGAAAATGATTGTTATCTACTTACATCGGGGACATATGGTCCGGGGTAGCTTATCAGAAGTGACATGTCCTTATCATTGGCTGATAAACAGAAAGGATTCATGTCCTGCAATTAAAAAAAAAAACAACTCTTTTTTTATTCATTTAAGAGTCAGGGAAAAACACCCAAACAAACAAAACCAACAAACTTGCTATGCAAGGATTCGGATTGATGAAAATTGACATACATTCAGTTCATTCAAAATCGCAGACCAATATCAAAGGCAAAAAATCAAAGACTTTGATGTATTTTGTCTCGTGGACCTTACTATATGCAAGGCAATGAAAAAATGAACACCAGCGAGTTATTTTGCTCACATAATCACTTGTAACGTTAGCAACTAGCAAAGAAATCTTGACAAACTCAGTCAACATTCTGAAAGCTGCAAACGTTTGCATTTTAAATCCAAGTCGAAAATGTTGGTACATTACAACTCCTGAGTTTTGATTGGTGAACTTGAGATAGCGAACAAAATAACATATGTCTCATTGGAAGACTCGTGGAAGCTTTGATCAACCTTCGATTCCTTGTCCTTGTTGATGTCTGTAAATAATGTGTGATGATACAGTCCCATTTTCTGACTTAGAAGACAATAGGTAAGGTGGCACCGGGCGTTGCTCCAGTTTATCAGCCGGTGCAATTGCTTATCGAAGGTAGTGTTTAATTCTGAAGCCCAGTTATACGTGAAGGCCGTCACCTTTTAAGAAAACAAACAAGTTAAAGTTCTCAATCAAGGTGAGCTACCGTCAAAGCTTGAAAAACTCCTCAATCCACGTCTAATCAAATAAATTTATGTACTACAAAACCTCACGAAGCTCTGCGCTCACAGACATGTTACTTCTACCATCTCTAAGAAGTTATGACCAAAGACAGCTTCAGGACTTAAAAGGGTGACTACTTTTATATCGACGTTATACAGCAGACAATTACAATCAATGACTGTAGGCAAAATTGCATGATTACCAAACACATGTCTAACACTACCTTTCAGTTCTATCCACAAAAAGAGACTGTTTTACGCTGCTGTCATTTTACGCACCTCTTTATCCATTACTGTTACCAGAAGGAATTTCTGTCGGGGTACCCCACCCAAAGACAAACTAGAAAGAGATACGCTATCAGCGAGAATTCGGCCAGGTACGGGTGCATTCGGGTCCAGTGCCTTGAAACGCTGGAGACTCGTGCGAACTGAAAAGAAGAAATGAAAGAAATTATTTATCGAGAGTTACAGGCCGATGAATATTCAGCAAAACAAGCAAATTAGCAGACAATGTTATATTAGTAACAGAAAAAACATAAGTAACTGAATAAGTACAGGAACATAAACTGACTATCGAGAATGATTGAGGGACATGCAGACATATAGTCACACAGATGTTGGGGGGTTTTACAGCTCACTCGGCCGAATTAAGTAGCTACTACAGCTACTGCCTCCAAGATGAACTAACGGATGGACATGGTCGCACTTCGAAGTGGGTTGGTGATTTCGTGTGAAGGAAAGTTTCAGGTCTGTATTCCAAGCAAAACCTAACCATTGCAAGCTAGAAACTTACTTTAAGACATTCTTAGGGCATAAGAAACATACTTCACTTCTAAAACACCTATCTAATGCGTCTAAAGAGACTACCAGCCTTGAATTTGGACAATTAATTAAAGCTAGGTTTGTGTGTTGGACAGGCCCTGAAAAACTTTTACCCGAAATACTAAACTTAAGTGGAGTCAAATGTTGTTCGACGCAGAAACTGTCTTTATCTGCAATCTCTGGTGCTAACAATAAAATATCGTTTGTCAAATCCTGACCATTGGGCTAGCCAGAACAGACAAACCTTGTTCTAATGCTGCTATAGTCAACCTCAATGAAGGAATAGTAGAAAGTTTGGCAGATAACTGGGAGGACATAAATTTGGGTAAGTCCGGGTCCTCCACCAAATTTGTTGGGGGTTCTACAGCTCGCTCGGCCGAATTAACGAGAGGTGCCAAGAATCTGTACTCTTCTTCTTTTATTCTCTTCTCGAGAGCTACTACAGCGACGCTTTATGTATCTGATGCCCTGTGCATCTAATATTCTACGCATCTAATAATCATGCTCTAGCGTAAGGAACCAACGCTTTAAGTTAGGGTTAGCTGACCGTGAGAGTTTCCACAGTGTATCCGTTTATTTCGTAAAAAGGGGGAAACTGGTTGGCCCTCACCGAAGCACTTGTCGAGCGCCAAGGAACCAATTGAACGTTAACAGCTGCGCACAGGAATTGCGCACACAAACAGGAACCTCAGTCTGGGTAGAACTCAAGGTCAGCTTTACCAACGCAAACACGACCACCTGTGAAACTGTCTAATTGTCTAAATGTCTAACACGGTAACAAGGAAATCCGTGAGCTGAGCCAAAAGAATATAAATCTACCAAAACAACACGTAGGCGCAACAGGCAAGGTTTAACAAAACAGGAGGCTTAACTAGAAAAGTCTCAGAACAACAACTTCCAGTTCACCTCACAACACAGACAAACAGTAATGCAGGCAAACAAAGAAGGCAAAGGAATGATTTGAAATGGTACGATATCTGGATGAAACTACGTACTTCGCGGACGGCCCAAGGTGTCATCTTGAGATAAATCTGAAAGTAAAAATACTAGAGATAGAACATTAAAAATCTCTACCTCAATAAAACACACTTCGTTTTAATTTGAAGTTGATAATGCTTTGTATTCAACTTGTTTTGAAGCGTTTTAAAATGTGAAATTCCAAACTTTCTATCATAAAGGAGA